CGTTACCGGTACGTACGGTACGTACGGAACGGTACGGTACGGTACGGTACGGACGACGTCGTCGTCGTACGACTACTACTATATATATATATATATATATATATATATATATATATATATATATATATATCACGGGAAGGTTGAGTTCAATCTAAGTGTGTATATTAAATCAGTGCCACTTGCATTCCAACCATCAGGTCTGCTAGTAGCTCACAGTACCAAGTGTATCAGCAAAGTAGCCTCTGTGATCCATGTATTGCAAGTACAGTAGCTACCATGTATTGCAAGTACAGTAGCTACCACATTTACCAGTCAACCCAGTCCCAACCTCTACTGAATGAGCAGAGATGGGAGCATGACCATGCATAACTAGCTCTTGAACACCACAAATAAATTTCTTATGAGACCAAGAAAGCCAAAGCCCAGAGCAAATAATTCAAGAATTAGCGAATCGCCAGAGGCAAATAAGTCAAGTTCAGAAAGTACCAGTGAATCTACAGCCAGTTTTGGTAATATGGATTAACTTTTCACTCAGTTTCACATAAAAGACATGCTAAGAAAGAGCTCTAACATATGCAGAATTGAAACTAATGAGAGAAAACAAAGCTTGACACACTCACCACCTCCAGTGCCCCTCGAATAACTCCACTTAAGATGTTGCAATAGTACAGACCTTGGCAAGTATCAGGAAGCTCAACAAAGTCTACCAAGGGGTTATCCTCCAAAATTAGACTGCAACTTGCCCCATCAGCATCCCAATTTGCAACAGATGCGGTGACCCCTAAAAACATTTTGAAACCTACCTGTTTCATAACATTATCAAAGTAAGCATACTTAGAGAAAGGTACAAAACAATCATTCAGAAAGTACACATGAAGAATGCAATCCTTGGGAAGGAAGCTGATTTGACTAGTGTTATCCATGCAAGGTAATACTTTCTAGCTCCTTAAAATTCATCAAAGTTGAGAAATGAGCAATGCTAAAATGCGGGTCCCACCTGACCCAACATAGTCGGAGATATGGGCAGGTTTGGAATGGGGGAGGACATTAACAATGCTATGCTGACATTTTTTCATATCATAGATGATAGGGCTCAAAGATTTTGATCCCAAGAAGGATTATTGTGTACATGCATTGATGTCCAGAAGTACCAAAGTTGCTGGGATCTCATCCCTCGACAAAATAACATTCCGCCGCTACGGGAAAGGGATCTTGATTTTTAAATTCTGGGATCTCACTCCATTATTAGGGATATTGATCTCCAGATAATGACTAAACTAATGGTTTTCTACATTACAGCCGGCTAGTAATGCACATACACTTTCGTATACTTATATTGCTTGCTAGCTATAAATAAAGAGATCCCTACTTTAGGGCCTGATTGATAACATTCCAATATCCTGAAATTCCAGGATATTTTAGAATATAATATAATTTTAATTATGCAAAGTTCATAGGGCAGCATTCCATGCAATTGACGATCTGTGTCCTCTCTCTCTCTTCTCTAGTGGAGCCCACTTTTCCCTCTTCCTTCCTCTGCAACCCCGAGCTCTCTCCAATCTCTCCCTCCCTCTATAACCCATAGTTGTCTCCACCCAAGCGCCTTCTCTCTAAATGTAACCCTTACCCCTTTTCTCTCTCTGCAGCCCCTTTCTATTTATCTCTCTATTCTGGTTGCTCTCTCTCACAGACCCAATCGTTCATCTCTTGGATCACTTTGGTTTATAGAGTATACAGTATGGTACTCCTAAAGAAGGCTGGAGATAGAGAGAATATGAGCAGCCATAGATAGCAACATAATCCAAATCACATATTAAGACCCACCATCTCCAAGAAACCTATATCAGGTCTTCTCAGTCACTATATCATAGTTAAATGGCATATTAAACACAAAATTATTAGAGAACGAATTCAATAATTTTTGTGGGTTTTCTTCTTGGGTTTCCTCTGTGTATTCTCCAACTGTTTCCTGTGTTAGATCATTGTGCGGCTTTCTACCAGCTACTGTTGTTGCAAGTTTCATGGCTGCTTGGCTTCTGATCAGAGAGTTTCTTCTTATGGGTTTTGCTCTTTTTCCATGGATGATCCTCATTTGAGCATTGTGCTTGCAACTTGATTTTTAATTGAAAGATGCAGTTTCGCAAGCATCAAGGTTTGATAGAAATTGAATGGAGAGAGACTGACTTTCTTGAACGGAAATTCAATTCAAATAGTATTTTTCAATGGAAGGATGCTCTACATTGAAAAATGCAGTTTCGCAAGCATCAAGGTTTGATAGAAATTGAACAGAGAGAGACTGACTTTCTTGGATGGAAGTTCACTTCAAATCGTATTTTTCAATGGAAGGATGATCTAGATTGGATGGAACTATAAGAAACCATATATTTAAAGGAGAATGATTAAATCAATCGAAGGAGAAAGGCTACAATTCAAAGGACGTTATTAATGAATCAAAGCAAAAAGCCATAGATTTCAAAAGAAAACATTTGCTTAAGAAAGGCAAACAGAAGAAACAGTATGGGACTTGGAAAACAAGAGCTGCAGGAATCTCCATTATAGAAGCAAACCAAAATTTTCAAATCCAAAGGAAATCAGAAACAGAACCATAAAGAAAAACCAGGATTAGAAAAGGAAGAATACTTGCTTTCAAAGATGGAGAAAACTGAAAGAATATGGAGGAGAAAAAGAGAGAGAACGTATACAGGGGATTCAAAGCTTAAAGTAGAATAGTAAACCCAAAATTAGATGATTGTGACCTGGAGAAAAAAAGAATTTCAGCTTAAAGGAAGTGCACACCTTGATACCCAAGAAAAAAATCTAAGATATCCAAGAGATTATTTATAGTCAGTCATGCATAGTTCTTGCACCTTGATTCTTTTTATAAAATTCAGTCAAACATGCACAGAAAAACACATATTAGGATAACATATAATTCATATACACGAAAAGCAGGGCACCGGCAATTTTCAGATTTTCTGAAATTTGGATATTCAGATTACGTTTTATCAAACTGATCCTTAAGCAAGATATATATTCCTGGAGTAAAGACATTCTTTAAGGTTGAGAGCAAGATCCCCAAAAGGTTGGGATCGAGATCCCTCATATTCAAGAATCTAGATCCCTAACATTTGCAATGTAAGGGCAACGCTTCCAACCATAGGGATCTTCTAGCCTCTCATGATCTCTCTCGATCCCACTCCTGATTCTGCTCCTGATCCCAACAACTATGAGGCCTGCATGCAAAGGATCTAGATCCAAGGAAGAACCAAAAAGGTTAGTATGTCACTCAGATTCGGTGTGGTTGGTGTTTCCAGTTGTACATGCCGATTTGCTTGCCAACACAAATTGAAATGTTATTTACTATTACTGCTTGTATATTAATTTTGACTCAATGTACATATAAAGGCTCACCATTTCTCAGGTAGAAACACACACACTTATCTTTATTTGGTTTTTATGAAGCAATGGAAGGAACTTGTTTTGTTTCCTAAGATTTTGTTGTGATTTCTTGCTTTATTTATGCATCTTCATTGAATAAAACATTCACCTCATATGCATCGCTCTTTCTCATATGATGGAAGCATCATCAGTCTCTGTTGCGCCGCGAAATGTTTATTCAAGTAAAGCTTCCTACTTCCTGCTTTGGTTGAAGCTTTTGTACTTCCTACTAACACAGATATGCCCGTAACTCAGATAAGCCGAAAGGCCGCTTCAAGATAATTACTTATTAGACCATGCTTTGCAAGAGAAATCCATGTGACACCTATGAGTATGTGATACGTATTACAGAGTGAGACTCTACGAGCATCGCTATTTCAAAGGTGGACTTCTTCACTTCTTATATTTATTCCTTATTTGCTCATGTTAGAGCATTCCCCGAAAGCGACGCATTGTACCAGCACACGATGCAGTAAGAAATGAGCAAGGGTTAACTAGGGCATAAGTAGGCAAGGGTTACTATGTCATTTTGAGCAAGCACAGGTAAAGAAGCTAGTCCAAGATAATATAATTCATTTGGCCACACGGAATGTAGGAATTCTCTCATGTAAAAATATAAAGTTCGTGGATTCAATGAGACGAATGAGAGTTAACATAGCTTGTTTATAGGAGATTAAGTAGAAAGGGGCAAAGAGCTAAGGAATTTGATGGATATAAACTTTACTATATAGGAAAAGAGGTATAGGCAATAATGGTAGACAAAGAGTAAAGGATAAAATTTCTCAAAAAAAGATAAAAGGATAAAATATTAGGTGTCAAGAGAGTAGGTGACAGGCTTTTATTAATTAAACTTACATTAGGATGCAAAAAATAATGTAATTAGTGATTATGGATTACGATTTAATAATAGCAAACACCTACTTTAAAATGCGAGAAGAACATTTCATAACTTACAAAAGTGGATCATGTAAAAGCTAGATAGACTTTTTTCTAGTTAAGAAGACAAAACAATCATCATGTAAAGACTGTAAGGTTATCCCAGGAGAGAAATTGACTACACAACATAGGTTCATGGTTATGAATGTTTGCATTACGAGATGAGTAGTGACATTAATGGGTTCCCAAGAACTAAGTGGTGGAACTTGAAAGGGGAGAAAATAGACCTATTTATCCTAAATGATGAAAGAAAGAAAATGGAATTCTAATGACAAAGTTAATGTTATGTAAAGTGAGATGATTGATTGTATTAAGAAAGAGCCAAAAAAAGTTTTAGGATAATCTAGAGGTTAAAGACTTTCAGATAAGAAAACTTAGCAATGGAATGATGAGGTTCAAAAAGCTATTAGCCAAAAACAATCATGTTACAAAGCTTAGCAAGGGAAAAGAAACGATCAGAATTTATAAGAATATAGAAATGTCAAGAGGAATGCTAAGAATGGCAAAAAGACTAAGCTTAAGGCATATAATGATCTATACAATAAATTGAAGACAAGAGAAGGTGAAAAAGATGTCTTCAAACTAGTAAACATTTGAGAGAGGAAGTACAGAAACTTAGCTCAGTGTTAAGAGGAACCATTGACATAAATGAGGTCAGAGTTATAGATACTTTTATAGGATTACAATATCTGAAATGAAAAAGGCTTTGCAAAAGATGAAGATAGGAAAGGCTATAAGACCAAATAGTATACTACTAAAAGTTTGGAACGAAGCTATTCAATAAGATTTTGAGAACAAAGAAAATGCAAGATGAATGGCGAAAAAGTATTGTGGTATCTATTTACAATAACAAATGAGACATACATAGTTTTATGAACTATTTAGGGATTAAATTTATGAGCTACATTATGAAACTGTGGGAGAAAGTGATTGATCCACCTAAGACATGCAGCGAGTGTATTAGAAAATTAGTTTGAATTTATGCCAAGGAGGTCAACCATGGGGGCTATTTTTCTTTAGGAAAATGAATAAGAAATTTAAGGAGAAGAGACCTCCACAAGGTCTTTATTGATTTAGAGAAAACATACAACACAGTAACTAGAGAGATAATTTCGTGGGTGCTAGAAAAGAAAGCAGCCTCAAAAGCATATGTTGACATGGCTAGGTATATCTATGATGGAGCACTAACGAATGAGGACGTGTAATAGAGAGACAAGTGAGTTTCAATGACAGCAGATCTACATCAGGGGTTGGCGTTGAGGCCATATCTCTTTGCTGTGGTTATGAACGAGTTAACAAGGCTTCTACATGATGAGGACCTCTGGTATATATTGCTTACGGATGACACATGATGAGACAGAAAGTTAGAACTGCAGAGGGATGTTATAGAATGTAAAAGATTTAATATTAGCCAAACTAAGATCAGTGTATCAAAAAGCGCTAGGCGGGTCCTAGGTGGCCTGGGGGGTCCAGGCCACCCAGTGCCTAGGCGGCTGCCCAGTTGAAACCAACATACCAATATATCATATTCCAAGTTGAAAAAAAAAAAGATAATTGTCGAGAAGAGAATTTTAATAATCAATATTGTTAAAACAGTAAAGTATAAAATCATAGAAGTGTAGGAAATAAAAGTCAACACTCAACACAACAGAAATATACAGAAATTTATAAAATATACAATCTAACAAAAGTCAACACTCATGACTCAACACAACAGTCAACACTCATGACCCAACACAACAGTCAACACTCAACACTCAGCAGCAAGAGGCAAGAGTCTTCAGTCGCCATCATCATCATCATCATCAAAAGGAATATTAATAGGGCAAGCCTCATCATATGCATCAGAGTCGAGGCCATCATCATCAGTGTCATCTCCCTCTTCAATATAACGCTCGTCCTCCTCTGTTTCTTCTGAATCTGCCTCTTTCTCCTCTTCTTCTTCTACCTCCTCTTACTAGTATGTGCAGTCTGTGCATATGAGGCCCTAGGAGTCTTGGCTGCTGTACCCTTTTTTTTGGGCTTCTTTGAACTCAAATATTATATAATTTCCTCCCTGGTAGCCTCAGAAACATTTTTACACAAGGCAACATCCCCCTTAATACCAGCAAGGTGTTTTTTAAACCGGTACATGGCGCCATTAATATCTGTTCCGCAATAATTATATTTAATACGATTTTTATCACTTGGATTCGGGTTATAACTATACTTCCAACCCGGATCACCACTCCGACTAAAACCTAGAGAAGATACTTCCATAGAACAAGGCTTATTTTCATCCTTTTCTAGTTCTTCTAAATTAAAAGATGTCTAATCTCATCTCGAACTGCTTCAGGAACCTTTCTACAAAAAGTAACATTACCTCTAACACCAGCAAAGTGTTTTTTGAATCGGCTAATACCCCCATTGGTATCTTTTTCACAAAAATTACGCCTTATACAATTTTTATCATTTGGTTTTGGGTTGTACCAATACTTTCAACCCGGATCACTTCTTCTAAAAATAGCAGAAATAGATCTATGACAAGAATTTTGTTCTTGTTTATGTTTTACATAACTTATATATTGCTTAATCTCCTCTCTGATAGCTTCAGAAATTTTTCTACAAGGGGCAACATCCCCCTTAATACTGGTAAGATGTTTCTTAAACCGGTTTATGTCTCCTTTTGTATCTTTTCAAAAAAATTGCATCGAATGCAATTTTTTTCATTTGGATTCGGGTTGTATCCATATTTCCAACTCGGATCTCCACTCTGACTAACTACTGAAGAAGACATCTCAAAATAAAACAAGCAATCTAAAAAATAAAGTTTTGCACTTATTTTGATTGCTCGAACTCCAAACTTCGAGAAACACTTCGATCCATGAAATGTAGTTTTCTGGAGGTTTCTTTCCGTCTAAAAGGGGTTCTTGTGGGTTTAGGTTTCAAATGAACCTAAAACCCCTCCTTCTAACCTTTTATATCTTTAAAAACAATCAAAACAACAAAAAAAAAAACATTTCCGCCTCTGGGCGGGGTGTAGGCCCTGGGCGGCCACCTAGGCGGGTTCCGTACCGCCTAGACGGCTGCTCAAGGACCACCGCCCAGTTTGGCCGCCTAGGCCTGAGCGATGCGCCCAGGCCTTCTAGACTGCCCAGGCACTGGGCGGTCCCTTTTTTTGAACATTGGCTAAGATAGAATATAGGGAATGCACATTTAGTAATAATGGGAACATAATTGACGAATTAGTTAAGACTGATAGTCAAGCACCTAAAAGAAATTATTTTCAATATCTTGGTGGATAATCCAAGAGAAAGGAGAGATTGAGGAAGATATTGCTCCTACAATAAGAGCCGAGTGGGTGAAGTGGAGATATGCTTTTGGAGTATTATATGATCCTCCCATACCAATGAAACTAAAGGGGAAGTTCTATAGGATGACTGTAAGAACAGCCATGCTTTATGAGACAGTATGTTAAATGGTTGAGAAACAGTATATCTATAAAATGAGTTTGGTTGAGATGAGGATGTTGAGATGGAGTGGCAAGACAAGGATAGAATTGGAATGAATGCATTTCAGGGATCTTAAACGTAACTCCAATATGCAATAAAATGAAGGAAAGTAGATTTAAGTGGTTTGGTCATGTGTGGTGTCGATCTAGAAAACACCAGTTATAAGAGGTGATTTGATTCAAGTGGAAATCTCTAAAAGGCAAGGAAAAGGCCCAAAGGACATGGATGCAAGTAGTGAGAAATAACTTATGGTTTGACTGAGTGTATGGCCTTGAGAGAGCAGAATGGCAAAACAAAATTTGCATAGCCAGCCCCTAATAGTTGGGATAAGGCTCGGATGATGATGATGATTTGTTCAATGGATGCATTGAAGTTTCGATCAAGCACCTTACCTAAAACTACGAAAATATAACAGTAAAGTGCAGGTAAAAGTCCAAGAAACCAGATACATAGATCACTTCTATAGAATTCAATCACTCCATTACAATGCTTCACATACAGGTTTAGAGACTCAAGTTGTTGATATTTCTATAGAATTGCTACAATAAAATTAAAGAAGAGAGATATTGAAACTGCATATGCTACACAAACACAACACCATGACAAACTTCATTTTCCATAGAAAAAGAATTCGACCATATATCGGACTAGTCTCTCATGCTTGTTTGTAATGACAATGGTTGTGCCAATACATGTCCTAAGCTGTTTACCCTCATTAAGACACATACATGGCCGACGCCATATATAGAGAAATAAAGTCATGCGAGACAACCATGCACAAAAATTCAATACAAGAATACTTGCATAGAGAACAACTAAAGAATATTCAAATAGTATCAAAGAAGAACAACACCTATCGATATCTATTTATTCCAAAAATTTTGTGCTCATACTAAAAAATGAGCCTTCAAATAATCTATAGAAGATGTAAGGAAGGAAATCAACTCAAACGTACCTTTGCAATCACTTCTGCCGTCTCCTTGAATTCAACACACCTAGAAACATTTGACTTGGCTAGAAATTCATCAATCAGTCGTATTCCAATGTTATAGCCCCTGAAAAAGAATCAATGGATCATAAGACAACATAAAAACATAGAAAACGATCTGACAAGACCAGTTATGGGAAGCACTAATTGACACATGCCTAGCTCCGTTTTCTCATATTGCCACAAATAGAAGTAATAACACAAGTCACAAGGTCAAAAAATATACAACATTATAACCAGAACTCAGAAGACGATCTAATTGGACATCATGTAGATAATTCTGAAAGAGATGGTGGACCACCTAAGGCACCCACAAAAAGTGGCATGCTAAAGATCGGCCCTAGGTGGGCCCATGATCATGAAACCTACGATTGGACTTTAGGGCCACACTCTAGGTTAAACCCTTGGCCATCCAATTCAAAAGGGTTTGGTTAAAATAAATTAGTAAATTATAGATCTTTTAGCAAGTAATTCCAGCTTACTACAAGTTTCCTATTCTTTTTAGCACTTTCTAATATCATAAAAGGGGATAGTTTCCAAAAAAATATAAAAGAATTAAAATCCATAATTTGGGAAGAAGGACGATTCAAGAAATATTTAAATTGTTTGTTTTCCAAGAAAAATGCAAGTAAAGAGGTATAACCTCTATAAATAATGCCATGTAAGGCTTAATGCCAACTTACTGAAATTTGAATAAAGAGCAATTATTGGTGATACACCTATTTTTTGAGGACATACCACTCTCAAATGGGGAGGAAATTTCCACTAGAATGGGAAGTGAAAGCAAGTTCACATCTAGGTCAATGCAATTTTTGTGTAATTGTGTTATGATAAAATGTACATCACGAGCATTAGGAGCAAGGAGCAAGCAGGAAGCTATCAACAAAGATTTGCAAGCAGGAAGCTAACAAAGATTTAGTGAAGTAATGAATGCCTCTATTGAAAAGCTACAATTCTATTGAATAAAGAGCAAGTTGGTTAGCTTGAACAACTTGATGCTAGGAGGATGAAAGATTAGGTATTACCAAACCTAAAACTCAAGGAGCTTTAAATTGGAGCATGGGAGGGCGTGTGTGAGACATTATTCCTTTATGAAACCTTGTCAATCACCTAGGGACGAAGGTCCTAACTAAGGGAAACAGGAAGCATGGTTTGGAATATATTTTGCAATACAGATCCAAAAATGAAAAACATATTCCTCTGACTCAAGGCCAAAGTGATCCATCTCTAACACATGCAGCACTTGAATCTCCATGACTCCATCTATTAACTTCGATCGAGTTCGAATAACACAAAATCAGATTCTAATTATTAGATAGACAATTTCTAGAGCCATCACATAATGAGATTCATGAAAATCAAATGCAAATTTCCTATTGAGAAGCAGAAATTGCACTGTCAACTAATTACACAGTATTAAACCATTGCAAATAAAACGATAAAAAAAAAAAAGTAAAGAAAAAGTCTAACCTATTGTCAGAGCAGACCTCCATGTCCGTTACAATATGGAAATTTTTTTGTAAGTAGGTAACAAATGATCAAACACCAATTGCTGCTCATAACATAAAATATTTTAGACCGAAACCAATTTCAAGATTTTAATTGGACAAAGGTTTTATCATCTTTTCTATCCTCCCAAAAATATTCAAAATGTTAAGCCAAAGAAAAAAGGAACAACAACGGAAAAACATACATTTGATCGAGCTGCTTGTTGACTTCTTCAACCTCTTCCAGATCAGTGAGCAGCTGGCGCACAATTGCTCCATATGTAAGAGTGAAAAGCTCTGCATTCTGTTTCAATAAACAACAAATATGGAAAAACAACGCTTCAAAGGACAACATGAAATGAGAATACCTTGAAATTTAAACCCTAATTGCTGATAAATTAAAAAACCGAGCATGAGAAGCATCAAATTAGACAAAGAACAGCACGAAATTCGTATATGCTAAAGAGAAGTGAATCACCACTCTCTCGACATTGGCAAAAACTGCATCTCCAGATCTCTGGACCAGAGGAGCCATGGAAATTAAGATTTAAAATTTACCAAAAAAAAAAAAACGGAGAAGAAGAAAACAAAATTCCTGAAAATGCAGGATATTTTCTTTAATTTTATGGAAAAATAAGTTTTCACTTTTCGAAGAGAAATAAAACGGAGGAAAAATTACAACAAATCCCTCTAATTTGAGAGCTCTTTGAAGGCACAGTAAATGGATCGCACTTCGTAGCAACCTGTCCATTTTCGCAAATGAAACGCCCTCCATAAATTTTGTAATGACAAACATGACTTTTCCTGACGGGTAGGAGCATTTAGAAATCTTTAAAAAACGGATCGGTTCCGAAACGGGCACTTCAAAATCCATCCAAATCGGTAAATCGCAATTTTGGATTGGAAATCGGCTAAATCGGTCGGTTTCGGCTTTCAAAACAATTAAAAAAGTTATTAAAAATCATTATATATATTGTTTTATAGGAATCCAATAAAAAATGAGCGTACTACATTAACAACTTTTATTTTTTTGCATCAATATGCGAATATTGAGATGTTATTTTCCTGTATGAAGATAATCAACCATTTATTAAAACTTAGCTAAATATAATATTATACATTGAAATTAAAATTATTGGTTTGTATTTTATTATTTTATCGTCATCTTACTATACAAATAAGAATAAATTTGAAATTTGTCTTATAATATCATCTAATTTAAAAATCTAATTTACAACTATAACAAAAAATAATACATTGCATAATTTATAATGTAAATAAATAATAAATAAAATCTAATATTTGATTATCATTGTAATTAGTATAATTATTAATTACAATATTATAATTAACATTATTTAAAAAACAAGGATCCTAATAAAAAACAAAAAATTCACTAAGTATTTAGAAACTCAAAATCCTTTTTTCTTTATACTTTAGTTTTTATATTTATAAATATTGACAGATTGTAAAGTAAACCACAATATTTTAGATCTTTTTTATTGTTCAAAAATAATATTTTAAACTTAAAAACACTCCATAACTAAGCTTTTTCACCAAAGGGATTAAGGGTACAATGTAATCCTACAGGTACATGCACTCTTTTTCACCACTTATGTCATACTTATGCGCTTTAATATGTTAGTAGGTTAGTTTTTAAATAGAAATAAAATAATTCCATATCCAAGATGATAGGCTTGAACAAGTAAAATATAAAAGCCATTGAGCGTGCGCTTTTAAAACAAATGGTTGCTGGTGGTTGGGTGATCTAATGAGCTGTTGTGACATCACGTGGCAATATTAAAAAATTGCCAAGCTTGATGGTGGGTGGGTGGTGATATTAACCATTTATGATGTCATTATTGGTGACGCGTCTTCTCTGTGATGTCCTAAGGTGAGAAAAACAGTCGGATCCCGTTTTATGGTTGGATCAGGAACGGGCTGGATGATACCCGATCCAGATCGCCCGATTCCAGATAGGGTCACCTATTTTTAAAACATTGGATATAATATTTTCTAACTTTTCTATAGGAAACAATCACTTTCTACAGTTTCGTTTAGCGCAGTGATTTTAAATGATTGTGTTAATACTAGCTTCTATCAAAATTAGGTAATGTGATTTTTTGTTTTGTATTTTCTTTAAGATGTTTTTTCTAGTGAAAGTTTCAGTTTTTTTACTCGGGTTAGGATTTTCTGCCAAAATGTGAATCTAGTGATCATTGTGCATCAATTTGATCGTTTTTTTTTTTTTTGAATGATCATGCTAATACGATCTTCCATCAAACTCAAGTGTTTGAAGATATTTTTCAGCACCTTGGATTCTCGATGCGGAGTAAAAGAGAAGTCGGTCAATAAAGCATTGAGGTACAATGGAATTCTTGACAGTCTCATAATTGCCTTAGAACGGGTCAGAATCTTCCTAAGCACTCCAAAAGGCTACCTGCAAAGTTTCGTCACAATTCGACATGTATAAGGCAACGCAGGCAAATAAACAATTTCGGAAAAATTAGTCTTTAGCACGCTGAAACGAACTCCGTAAATAGAACTCTATTTTTGGTGAGTCAAACAGCTGTGGGATAGCCACCATTAGATTTGGCACGATTGAAAACCCCTAGGGGTCAAGTTTCGACTTAAACAGACATCCCAAGACAAAGTTATGGGTAAAACATTAAAAAGTGGTAGCCCGCACACTATTCCCGCACGGCCTCCCTACACCAATCTCCATTACAAGAGACTGGTTTGTATGGTCATAAACAGCAACTTTGAAGAATCGTATCTCAAACGTCTTGAGTCGGATCGCACTCAAATTTTGTGAGCATGTTTGTCTTGTCAAGACGAGCGTTTTGATATGTGGCACGCCCCATGACAATACCTGAGTAGGGAGAAAAACTAAAGAGAAATTGGTGATTCGTGAAGACAGTTGTAGGTTTTACCCCTAGAGTGAGGCTAGGTCTACCCTAAGTCGTCGAGTTTAGATCTTACCTAATTTAGATTCTAGAACCTTGCCAAAAGCAATCACCATGTCAGTCACTCAAGGTGACCATGATGATCGCTCCACGGCCGACTCTAAGCTGAACCTGCCCAAACTTAAGGACCAATATGTCACGATCCCTTGGGATTATCGACAGAACTCAGGTCAATCCATTATCCAACGCCCAGGTCTCTAATTAGAGGCAGAGTCCCAAGGGTCCACCCCTAATCCTGAAATTTGTGTGGCTCGAAAAGTTGGCTCTGCCCGAAAGACTTTGAATAGTCAGGGGATCCTACCGGGCGTTGTCCTACAGGGGATTTTAGGCAACCAAAGTAGGAGTCAAGTGAGGGAAGAAATTTATGCAGCATCTAAGACTAATTCCCACAACTCGAACCAAAATAACCCCGAGGCTCAACGATCTCAAAACCAAGACCCACCTAGGTCTAAGGGATCTAACCCAACCTCGAGTCATCATAGTACAACTCGTGATGTCTTGAACACTGTACGAAGCAGAGATGTCGACCCAGCTGCCCTTAAAAGTCCAGTTGACCTAGGTTACACTATTCATGCCCCAGCTTACGGGTCTATCCTAAACCAAGTTAGTGTTGTAGGTCAACCCTTAGCACAACCGAGTCTGCCGATCCTTCAATCGGTCCCTCTAGTTCATTCGGTCCAACAAACCTTGCAATTCTCACAACCGATGGCGACACCTATAGGTCAATACGCCCCTCAGGCACAAATCTATAAAACCACCCCCGTGACTATGGCTCATCAATCTCAGACCCATGCAAGCCAACAGGTACCTCATGTCTCAACTCATCAGGCTACGCTTGGGAACCCACCGATCAGTGGTCCTACTATCATGTCAAATACTCAACAAGAAGGCACCCTAAAAGCGATGCAGGACATGCTTGTAAAAATGGGCATGCATGAAATTCTAACCTCGAAGGCCTATCTTCATGAGACCCTTGGAGGCATGGAAGACCTTCCCCTAGAATTTCTTGTTCCAGAATTTAGAAACAAGTTCAATGAGAAGAGCGATCTGGATACTCACGTCAACGCATACCTCCTCTCCGTTTGAGCTTTACGAGACATGTCTAACCAATTGAATGCCATATTTCACAAACATTGACCGGCGAGGCCTTGAATTGGCATCTAAGAACAATGTCCGCTCGACCACACATCACTCTAGACGAAATGTTCAACCTATTTGTCTCTCACTATCGCAGGTCGACACCAAGACCTCTCTCCATGGGCGAGCTCAGTGCAACGAAACAAAACCCAGGAGAATCCTTTGAGGATTCATCGATCGATTCCGCAAGGCAGCAATACGGGTCATAGAATATCCACTTACAGACCCGGCCAAGATCTCCATAGTCTTGGAGAATGCCGCTCTTGAATACAGGACTTCTTCAACCAAGGTCTTATTCTCCACTCTTTCGACTCCATGATTGAGTGGGTGACGCGATATGAAAAGGCTAGAGGAACACCCCTCAGCACCAGGCCCAACAACAAACCGATAACAACTCCCCAAAATAAGAAAAAAAACAATACTAAGGGGAATGCTTCTGATCAAGTTAATGATATTTACTGGAAGACATTTTTCAACACCATGGAAACCCGATACGGAATAAAAGGAGAAGCCGGTCAATAAAGCCTAATGAACAGCGAAAATTTTGACAGTCTCAAAATGATCCCAGAACTGGTCAAGATCTTCATAAGGACTCTTAAAATTTTCTTGTCAAGTTTCGCTGTAATCCGACATGTCTAAGGCAGTGCAAACTAAGAGACAGTGTCGGCAAAGTCAGCCTCTAGCACCCTAAAACGGACCGCTATAACTAGAGCTCTATTTTTGATGCATCAAATTGTTGTGGGACTACTTCCATTGGAGCTGACATGGTTGAAAATCCCTGTGGGTCAAATTTCAGCTTAACGGGCACTCCAGGAATAAGTTATAGGCGAAAGATTGAAATAAGAGTAGTCACACACTATTCCCGTGCGGCCACCCTGCAACTAAACTCCATTAAAGGGACAATCACAAACAGTGACTTGCAATGCTTATATCTCCCTTGTTCGAGATCAGATCGTGCTCAAACTTATTGGAATGCGTTTGTCTCATTAAGACGAGAGTTTCAATATGTGGCACGCCTCGTGACGACGCCTGAGCACGAAGAAAAACTAGAAAGAAGTTATCAATCCGTGAAGGAAGTTGCAGGAAAATCAGCAGCGACACACCTCACTCGAGTGGCCAAATCACGACGCTCGCGAGCCTGATCAACATGAAACTAGTTGTATCGCGTGACTATCACGGGTCCGAACCACACGTATGATAAACGGTCAGATCTCGAACAAGAAGCCGATGAAGTGACTACAAATTCTGGTGTCAAAATTCCAGATTCTAGCCAAAATTAAATAGTTGTGAAATCTTCGTCAGGGCACGAAATCAAGCTACTCTTGTTGTCACGCAATCATGACGGCATGCTCAGTGTGATCCAGCAAAGAAACCACAAAAAAAATCAAGGAACGAGCACACTATCAATGTGAAGTTTGTAAGATTCATCCAAAATTCAAATCACACGATCGTGGCCTAAAAACATGATCTATGGCTCGAAGTTGGTATCAAATCGATCGTCACGCTGAGCCCTACAAGAAAACAATAATCTTTCTATCAAACGGGCACCAGAGTAACCCCGGATCATCTATGAAAGATCATGCAAGTTCTAGGGCAGCAATAGGAACTAT